CCCCAAAACCCCAAAACCCCAAAACCCCAAAACCCCAGAGATCGCTAAATGGGTTGAAAATTAATAACTAGATTTTTTGAAGGGAACTAGAAGCTCTAATAGGGATTTTCATGTTTAAGGCTTCCTTGGTCGTGACTGCTCTAACTAAGGGCATCCTTAGCATCGACTTTGAGCTCTATATGTCATAAGAGGATGGTACCTTTCTTGACAGTTTTGGGTCTATGATTTTTGGAACCTCATTTGAATAACTTCCTACCTTTCCAAGATTTATATTAGAAGGAGTTATGATTGATTTTAGGAGTGGGATCTTGGTCGGGCCTAAGTTCGGCCTATTGAGATTATTTCTTTGCTTAATAATTGATGAAGAAGCTCTATAGGGCTTCTTTTGAGATTTATTGATATTATGGTCTAACAATACATCAGAAAGAAGTATATTGCTCGAGATAGCACTCTTATTGGGGATTTGAGGATGAATAGGATATTTCTTCCCGAAAAATGGAGCTCCATCTCATTTTTTATTTGCTATATTTGGCAAAGGAGGAAGTTTATCTGCTCTGCTAGCTTGGGATGCTTGTCTTCTGCTATTTCCACGGTTATACAGCCGATTATAGGGATTATTTTCATTGCTTGCCTTCTTCTTCTTTCTCTCTTCAATTAATCTTCTCATTTCAATTCTTACATTCTTCATACTTCCTAATTCAGATGAAGGTAATCTTGAGTGAGCATTAAGCTCATAATAATCCAAAATACCAACACAGACTGCCTTCCCGACCTGGAAAAATGAGTCAATTGTATATGGGTTCTCCTTGGTTCCTGCCTTAACCAAATCAGGGTCTGTTTGCTCTTTGTCATCTTCTGCTTTTTGAACTACTTCTTTGGTTTTCACATCAATAATATCGGTCAAAGTATTTTTATTAACCCCGACAGTGTAATGGCACTCAAGTGTATAAGAATTAGGGATGCCAGTGTCGCTCCAAATAGCAACCCGACCGCATCCGTCTCTTGTCATCCCAGTCCCTTTATCTTTGACCTTCATGTTTCCAGCAGCGAAAGAGCACTGGTTGAAATCAAAATCAATGCTGTTTAAAGAGATTGCTTTTGGAAGAGCCATATTCTCTACTTGCTGTTGGAGAATGCTGAGCGAATTCCCGAACATAAATCATCCTTTCTTGGAAGCATGAGCATGAAGATCAATATACAATGCAAACTTACTAGTTTGATTTAACTGGTTAATAATTTGTTTCGCAATATAAATAGTTGGCTGTTGGTCAAACTTGGGGTCTTTATAAAACCTATTCAAGTTGTTTCCCATTGTGTCTTGCCTATAGTACCCTCTATAAACTCCATCTGGGTTGAGCAAGGGAATTATCTTAAATACGAAGTGCTTTCTAAGAAGTTTTCCATATTCATGATCAGGATCAGTGAGAACATCAAGAATTCCATTCAACATAAAAGAAGCAGCTACTTCTCCTGGATGAACTCTAGCACTGAAGAAGATAGTAGGTTTCTTAAAGATATAGCCTCGTTTCGAAATTTTCTTATTCTTTCAAGTAGGGAACAATCTTCTAATGAATGGCTCTGTCTGGTCAGTTTTCTTAGAATGATCTGTGATTGTAATAAGCTCTACTTTTCTTTTCTCAAGGGAGTACCCAACATGTTCTCTGAAGAAATAAATAGACTCATTGTCTTTTAATTTATGTTGTATTTCGTCCATTTGCTTCAAGACGTCTTCGTATCCGAATGGGAAACTGTATGCAAAGTGTACAGTGGAGGAGGAGCTTCATTCAAATGTATATCTGAACTGGATTAAGGATGACTCCTCTCCTTTATCAAATTCCACTTCTCCAGGAATAAACTTCCATGTTTCATCCTCTGGAACTATTTTAAATACTGGCTTAAGGCCATTATTGATCAATCCTGGTCCGTGAGGCATTCTTAGAGGCAGAAGTTATAAGTTTCACCTAAAATTTACTCGAGGTAGTACCTTGCTGGAAGCCAGTGATAGAGAAATGGTACCATGCTTTAGATTTACCTGGCTTTCTGTAAGGTTCTCCATCACTTGCAGTGGTCATAATGAAATTACGATCACTGATCTGGCATACATCAAGAATGTTTCCAGTATCAAACTTACTACTAATTACTAGGGATCCAAAAGAGTAAAAGTTCTGAGATTCACTTCCAATAAGGTTCTTTTGCTTCTTCCTAGATAAAGTTGAAGATTTCGGTTTCCTAGATTCCATTTTTCAAATAATTTTGAATATTTTTCCAAAAAAATCTTCTCCCCTAGGGGTTTTGGGGTTTTGGGGTTTTGGGGTTTTGGGG